ATTATTATTATTATTATTATTATTATTATTATTATTATTATTATAGCAATAATTTTATCTTACGAATAATCTCAGAAACACCGAGAGATCATTACGACCCTCTTTTCTGGTGAAAAATTGATGTCACGCACCAGTTAATAAGACCTACTTTATTAATATTTTTAAGTGCAGCATACTACAGTAACAAACCGATAACCGTGGGCTGATTCCAGCCACAGTAAAACCGATCAAGTTCAAAGCTTGGTATCATTTTATACTAAGTATTACTAGCATAGTGTTTTGTCAGCCTGAGGCGTAAGTGGCTTTGCATTTTTACAAAATGTTGGTCTTTTATTGGTAAATTTTTAACATTATATATTCAATTGCTATTTTTGTTTGTTTGTTTGTTTGCTTTTTTTTATCTTAACTTTCCATACTTTTACCGCTAGGATCAGCCTGTCATCTACTGAAGGAGAAAGGAATAAGAGGTTCACACGTACATTACAGTTTGATTATTGTTGACATCCATGGAACTGATCTAACTAACGTCCTGCTGGAGTGGGATCTGTTCCACCTGGCGTAGGGTTCGTTCCTCCCGTATTAGGTCCAGCAGGAGGTCCGGCAGAAGGCCCCGCAGAGGGTCCTTGTGTAGGTCCCTGACTCGGTCCTTGAGTAGGTCCTTGAGTAGGCCCTTGAGTAGGTTTCTGAGTAGGTATCTGGGTAGGTCCTTGAGTAGGTCCCTGAGTAGGTCTCTGGGTAGGTCCCTGAGTAGGTCCCTGGGTAGGTATCTGGGTAGGTCCCTGAGTAGGTCCCTGGGTAGGTATCTGGGTAGGTTTCGGAGTGGGTTTTCTGAAAGTCTTAAATCGGAAACATACTCTGATGCGTCTGCGTCGCCAGCGGGTCCAACGGCGTCTACGGCCTAGTAATCGTAAGCATATTCTACGCCGACGTCGTTTTCCTCGCCTAAGCTTCCTGAGAAGTTTTCGTAACCTGTAACGTCTTCGTCTTCGTCTTCGTCTTCGTCTCCGTCTTCGTCGCCTTCTCCGTCTTCTTCTACGTCGCCTCTTTCGTCTTCTTTTACGTCGCCTCTTTCGTCCTCGTCGTCTACGCCAAGGATCCTCAGTTTTATGCTGATTTAGTCCTGTCGTTGAAAAATATTAGAATAAGCTAACATGTGCAAGGCAATATTTAGGTTTTTAATCCCGGTATTTCATACTCCCTTCGAACAAGTTCAAACACATGGACAAAGCAGGGAAACGAATCACACCTATTTGTAGCGTATAGATTAGAGTTTTAAAAAAGACAGCTTTTTTTTTCGACTTAGTTGGCAACAACGCCGTTGTCACTTTTAAACATTTTCTCGGTTTATTGTGAGAAATCTAGATTTTCGTCTCTGAAGCTGTTTGCAGCACCTATAATTCACGTTATAGTTCACAGTTCATGTTTTTGTATTAAATTGTACCGATTTAAGCAATTTTTATGAGTTTGCTCTCGAGAAATCTCTGGCTGAATTTTTTGACTGCTACAACGAAACGAATCATAAATAATGCTTGTTGCGTTACTTGATTTAAATAGACATTTCCATTTTATCTTCACGTGGAAAAAAAGTAATTTTTCTTTTTGAGTTTTAGAGAACATCTTCCAGCTATTAGTTTCCACATTCCAAAAAATTGACAAATATCCTAGTTTTTCATCCCCTTAACCACTGACTGATTTTTCTTTAAGTCATAAGACTTTACCTTCTTTCTCTCTCACAGCAACCTGTGCCTCGTATGCATCATCCATGGCCGTTAAATCGGACGTATCATCTACATCTTCGTCTTCGTCTTGACCTTCAATTTCATTTCTTTCAATTTCATTTTCGTCTTCAGCTAGATCGTTGTCATCTTCATTGTCATCTCCATCTCCATTTTCACTATCTTCCTCTCCATCTTTTCTATCGCCTAGATATTGATCTTCAGTGTTTATGTCATCTTCATATTCGCCAGTTTTGTCTTCTTCATAAAGATCGTTGTCATCTTCATCACCGTCTTCATCTCCATCCTCACTCTCTTCCTGTCCATCCTCTCCATCGCCTATCGCCTCTTGACCGTCATTTTCTACCTCATCTTCATCTTCTTTCTCCTCAGCCCAATTGTTTTCATCTTCATCATCATGATTACCATCGTCCTCGACCAACTTTTTAGTGTTATGAACGAAAGCACCCTTTGTGAAGCCATCATTAAAATCTTCACTTAAAAGGTCTTCCAGGTCCGTTGCCGTTTTTTTAGGTACTTTAGTAGAGCTGCAGAAATCTAGTAACAGAGCTGCACATAGAACCAATAAAATGTTGGCAAACCATCGAGCCGCCAACATATTCTCCCTGCCTTCAGCTGCCCGAAAGCATCTGGCTAATCGCCGAAGAAACACAGTCATTTAACTCTTCCACCATGGTGATATTATTCTACTGTAGAAGTCAGGTCTTTTCAGAACACATATTCCTTGATATCAGACTATTTACGTAGAAGGATGGTCCTAAAATTGCGCCCTTCTATTTTGGTTATAAGTGAACATTCTAAGGGTATATTTTCTATTTTTGCACGGATTGATATCAGCATATTTCATCTATAGAATTAAAACACGAGATCATTATCTGCTATTTTCAAAATATAATGGCAACTTAGAAGCGTTTTCTCTAAGTTGAGAAACACAGTGGGTGGACAACCCTCTAATGAAATGGTGGATTTGTGGGAAATGCTCCTTGAATTGCTTGGTAACGATATATGTCACCAGGCGAATACTCAGTCTTAATATGTTCTCTCCGTCCTCTATTTGACCATGCAATTAGTGGTAAAGCTTTCATTGAGTGAAACTTAAAATGAATAAAGTACTAATAATATTAAGAAGTCAGTATTAATGGACAGGTCTTACCGTATCTTCTTTGACTTGATTCATAGAGACGTTACCAATCAAAATATTTTCCTAACGAGTGACATGGCTTTATAATTAGGAACATGAAATGCAGAATGCAAATAAGAAAAAGAAATAAAAAGTGGTATAACTGTTTTTAAAGTGAATTTAAGACATTTTTCAGGATGGATTAATCGTAATTAATTGCACACGATATTATAGTTGTTTGGGCAGGTAAATTGGGGTGGATTCATTCGCAACAAACGGGTGTAGCTGTCGTGTTTGCCTTTCGGGAATTTTTTATAGTTTTTAAGCCTAAAAAAAATAAAAAATTCCACCAGGCAAATCCGACAGCTATACGCGTATTTTGTAAATGAATCCACCCTTGGTATCTGCCAGCAGGGCCTAAAGATATCAAGATATTAAAACGTTTTCTATTTGACGTGTGTAAAACTTGCATATACACTTCGAATTTGCTCAGTTTGTGAGAGGTAACCAAGAAGTATCAATATTCACTTTTTCTGGAGATATTGCAAATGATAATGATATCATGTTGCTGAATTTATACGGCCATGGCTGGCGGCCACGTTTTTCTGTGCTCCGTTTTCTTCTCCCAATTTGGGTCTTACATCGTGTCTTGGAACGTCTAAAGTCATCTATTCTTAAGTTCCCACGGTCCTTTCATCTCTGGTCATGAAGTTACGTACTTTACAGAATTTTAGACAACTTTTCTACTTCCCTTGTCATCATCGAAAGGTTTACGACGCCATCTTGTTGTCAGCGCGCCTCGTTTCCTCCAGAGTTAGTTATCAAGTATCCTAACTCAGTTAGCTCTTTCCAACAACTACGGCTAGTTCTAAGCGGAGATGTCCAGTTAAATCCTGACCCCACTGCTTTAAGCTCAAGTTACACCATGAACAATTCAAAGTTGAGCTGTGCACTGTTGAACAGTCTCTCTCCTTGCAACAAAATAGTGGAATTCCAAGGGTTAGTTTATGGCAACAACTTAGATCAACTTAGAGACGAAACATCAACAATTTGGAACAAGTTCAACGCAGAGCTAAGAATCATTCTTGGAAGGGATTATTCTGAGTATGAGCGCCTTTAGTTAGTAAGACAAATTCATTACCTTTGAAGTATCGCAGAGAAATTAATGATTAATTAGTTTTCTTTTTCAAGTGTCTTTAGAATATGTATAGGTTAAACATTTTCAATTATGTATCTTTTCACACTTGTACCAAGTCAAATCAATCAAATCAGAAAACTTTATTTTACTTCGAATTTCAAAAAGATAGCATCAATTAATGCTAATATCTCCGAAGGAAAAGCAAAAACAAATAGAAAAAAATGACAAAGGTAATTAGAATAAAGTAATACTATATATTATGTACAATAAATTCTATTACATCTTTGTTCTTTTAATAATATATGTTTTTTTTGATTAATATTTTCCTCGTCGTAAATAATAGTTTCGATTACGAGAATTGAAAACTAAACTTTTGTACATTACTAAGTCGTCAAGATTGTACCTCTGGGAGCATATTCCAATATTTGCTGGCAGAGTAGCGAAAGGAGTTCAAACCATATTTGGTCGATTGAACTCTGGGAATACTAAGAAAGTGTTTACCACACAAATTGTAAGAAGAATTTCTTTCTATCAATAGCTCGTTAATATGACTAGGGGCCAGACCGTGAAAAGACTTATATACAAGAGTTAACATATCATGTATTCTACGATTGTGCAGACTCGGCCGATTGATGTTATTTAGAAGTTTGTCATAGGAAATATGATATTCATTAAAAATAAAACGCAAGCAGCTCTCATTGATCCACTTAAGTTTGTCACTGTTTTTTTTGCCACAATAATGCCAAATACTTGGGCAGTAGGAGAGGCAGGAGAGAAGAAAGCGTTTCTTAGCACAAGTAGAAATGAGATGTTTATGGCGCTTTAACACTTGTAGTTGCTTACTGACATTGCGAATAAGCTCAGACATATGTTCGTCGACATTGAGGTCAATATCAATAGTGACACACAGAAGCGCTTAGGAATGTTGATCATTTAACGCTTGATGTCCCTTTCAGCAGGACTGACGTCTTTAAGAATTCTTTTTTTGTTCGGATCTGTCGCCTGTGGAATGAATTACCTCTTAGTTTAAGAGAGTCAAATATCTTGTCAATCTTTCGTAAGAATTTGATGGCCTTCTATTATGATAAGTTTAATGTAAATTTTTTCTTATTTTACATGTAATTTACTTAATCATTGGTCCATTTATGGCAATTTTTCTTGTATATTTATTTTTTATCTCATGTCTTCTGTAATTTTTTAATAATACATGTTAAAATAACGCTCTAGATAATTTTATTACTTAATTCTCTATATCTATTTGTGACGTAATAATAGGTGGGTCATTTTTAAGGAATCTTGCACTCTGTTTTAAGCCTACCTCAGAATGAGCGATTGATTGATTTCATTGTCATGGCAATGGTAAATCTGGAACTTGATTAGATTTAATTAATTAAAATTAAAATTAAAATTAAATTAATTAAATCATAATGTCTTACCTCTTCATGGCGCAACTACGACATCGCATTGTCTTTTATGTCGAGATATCCCTACCTTTAGTTTATGTAAATATTTGGTGGTATACATGGGCAGGAGATCTCAACAAGCCCTATTGAGTTTTTCAAAGGAAATCTCCTGCCGACTTAACTGATTGATTACATTATTAACCGACAATGGCGCTTTACAAAAAAACACTCTAACTGTCTTTATAAAATGATGCAGGCTTACCTATCTCCTTTATTTTTACGGTGAGTGAAACTGTATATATAAGTATACTGTCTGGATTTGCAAAAGGGTACCTCCAGGATTTTTTAGCAACAGCCTCATTTGAAGCTTGTTCAGTACTTGACCGTTTCTTTTTTCTTTTCTTCGATGTTTTTAGTACAAAAGAAAATAAATAAAAACAACCTAACAAGCTGCAGTAGACCAAAAAAGGGGGGTTTATAATGCTATTTACATCTTTCCCCAACTCCCCCCCCCTCCCGTTCCTATCATTTCCCATCATTCTCTCCGTGTCAAAAACACTATCACATTTAGACTGTTCACAGTCCAAAATTTTTTCATGAGATCGTCGAAATATAGCGCGTCTTACCGTTAATGGCGGCCATCTTGATTTTCAAATGTCCTGAGGGGGCGGGTGTCGGAGAGGGACCGTAATAACATCACTGTAGCTCGCGCTCACAGAGCACGTTGTACCAGCAACGCATGCGTTGGATTGGTCATTAGACAATAGATGTTAATTTGCGTTGACAACGGGTTTAGTTGAAGTTGCCGACACTGACAAGTCGTTTACAGGTCGAGCATGCTTGGCGTTTTCATTAGGAAAATGTTTCACCTGTACATGATTGCCAATTTTATTTGGAGGAACTGTCCAGAAACAGTATAAAATCACTGTTTCGAAAGGACATATTTGTAAACACGCGAAATCGATGCTAAGTGTGCCTGGTATGTTTTTCGTGGCCTGCGGAGTTTCTTAATTAATGACTGGCAAAAGGCATGAAATTCCTGTCACGCCTGCCGAACGCGAGCTGCAGTGAGTTATTAGGGACGGACCATTAGAAAAGTTATGGGGGGGAGGGGGCAATTTTCGAGCCGCAATATTTTTTTTTCGTTATCGAATTCCTTATATTAATTTCTTTTAGGCCATTGCATGAATATTTTTTAGGATTAATTGGCGTGCACGAATTTTTTTCATTTAATTTCCCCTTGCTCGAATAATTTTTTTGTACTCCCCCCCCCCCAACCATAAGTTTTCTAATGGTCCGTCCCTTACAGCCCCTCTGTTTTTCTCGCTTCCTTCCAAACTGCCCCCCGCCTCCTATTGTAAGTAGTTTTGACACTCATGCAAGATGGCAGCCTGTAACGCAAAGCGCTCGATCTCGACGGTCTTGCGGAAAAATAGAGGACTGTAAACAGTCTATATTGCATTTCAAATCAGCGCGCCCGGTAGAAGTTGTTTTCCGTGGTCGGTTAATTTTCTAGGTTTCATTCTGGCCGCCTACAGTAAAGTTTTCCGGAAGGCATCATTAAGCCTTACGAAGGGACAAGTCTCATGATTGTCTAATATGTTACCGTATTTCGTCTCATTTTGTTGAATTGGTTAAAAAGGTAAGACAGTGATCTCGGGCTTGAAACGGAAAGGCATCGTATGATCGCGAGCTTTGATGTGGGCGGTGACGAGTCTCTGGCCTCAAAAAGTTGTTCTTAGGAGTCAAATCTATTCGGCGAGAGTAAAAATGATGTTGATTTCTGACCTTGCTGGCCAGTTAAAAATTGTTTTGAAGGCCGGCCTCTATATGTTTCTTTCAAAACGGTTCTTCTACATCCGGAATCTTGAATAAATCCACTGCGTCAGGAAAGCTTGCATGTGATGAGATGATTTACGTGGAGAATGCGAGAGTTA